AGAAAATTTTCTTTTCGACGATTCATTTTCATGAGCTGTACAATCGTAATTATAATTAAACACATAAGTTTTTGACCAATCAGATACTGGTAAACTTTGTCCTTGAAAATTCTGCTACATAGTGTGAGGTGTAAGAAGGGATGACTAATTGTAAGTTAGAAAGGAGACAGAAGTTGGCATGACCAAATAAGTGTGAGATAATGACTAATCAATAAGCTAGTGTAGAGAGGACAGGAACTAGTGGAAAGGTTATACAGTAGTTTTGTATAAGATCTGTGTGAAAAAGCAATGTTATTAATAAACAGTCATAGAGTAGTAATAAAATATGGATGGTGGGAATAGTAATAATAATAAAAGTATTAAGAACAGTAATAATAATAATAATAATAATAACAGTGAACTTACGTATTAAAAGAGAGGAGAAAAATTATAGTTAGAAATTTACTCTGGCCATGTTAGGGCTAGAGAATGTATGTATCGTTTTTGTATGCATAGGTCCGGTTTTATGTCACGAATAGCTAGTGCCTCGGCTATGTACAGATGTCGTATCCGGAGTCCTTTTGTACGATATTGAGGGACTCTGTGTACCACTGTGAAGCTTTCGTGTGGGGGTGCTCGATGTCCGGAGATAACAAGGTGTTCGAGGATTGAGCTGTTGGTGTTCTTCTTTTCTCCTCTGGCTAACCAGGCTGGGCAGTGTTCCAGGATACGTTTGTGGACTTGACGTTGCGTACGGCCGATATACTTTGCTCCACACGAGCAAGTGAATTGATAAATACACATTGAAGTGGCCAAAGGCGGTATCTTGTCCTTAACGTTAGACTGGATTAACTGTCTGCAGGAGAATGTTATATGTAGAGTGGCTGTTGGGAATGTCTTCTTCAGACTTTTTGAAAGGCGGCTTCTGAGGATTTCTGCTGCGATGTCACCTTTGAATTCTAGGTTCATGAAGAGAGTCTTCTTAGGAACCGTTGTGATATTTGGCACCGGGGGCTTCTCCTTCATGTTTTTGTCGATGAATCTTGGCGGATACCCATTCTCTAGTAGGGTTTCACGCAATAAATTTAATTCTTTCTCCACCGTGTCTTCCGGTTCACAACGGTTCCTAAGAAGACTCTCTTTATGAACCTAGAATTCAAAGGTGACATCGCAGCAGAAATCCTCAGAAGCCGCCTTTCAAAAAGTCTGAAGAAGACATTCCCAACAGCCACTCTACATATAACATTCTCCTGCAGACAGTTAATCCAGTCTAACGTTAAGGACAAGATACCGCCTTTGGCCACTTCAATGTGTATTTATCAATTCACTTGCTCGTGTGGAGCAAAGTATATCGGCCGTACGCAACGTCAAGTCCACAAACGTATCCTGGAACACTGCCCAGCCTGGTTAGCCAGAGGAGAAAAGAAGAACACCAACAGCTCAATCCTCGAACACCTTGTTATCTCCGGACATCGAGCACCCCCACACGAAAGCTTCACAGTGGTACACAGAGTCCCTCAATATCGTACAAAAGGACTCCGGATACGACATCTGTACATAGCCGAGGCACTAGCTATTCGTGACATAAAACCGGACCTATGCATACAAAAACGATACATACATTCTCTAGCCCTAACATGGCCAGAGTAAATTTCTAACTATAATTTTTCTCCTCTCTTTTAATACGTAAGTTCACTGTTATTATTATTATTATTATTATTACTGTTCTTAATACTTTTATTATTATTACTATTCCCACCATCCATATTTTATTACTACTCTATGACTGTTTATTAATAACATTGTTTTTCACACAGATCTTATACAAAACTACTGTATAACCTTTCCACTAGTTCCTGTCCTCTCTACACTAGCTTATTGATTAGTCATTATCTCACACTTATTTGGTCATGCCAACTTCTGTCTCCTTTCTAACTTACAATTAGTCATCCCTTCTTACACCTCACACTATGTAGCAGAATTTTCAAGGACAAAGTTTACCAGTATCTGATTGGTCAAAAACTTATGTGTTTAATTATAATTACGATTGTACAGCTCATGAAAATGAATCGTCGAAAAGAAAATTTTCTTCGCTGTTTGTGTCTTTTCATTGTGTTTAATATTGTAATTTTCTATACATCCAGGATAGGCATTGCATCATTTCGACTGCACAAGTTCTTTGTGTTGATTCCATTGAACAAAAATTCAATGATTAGTTTCTCTCTCCCTGTCGCCCACCCTTGATTACGTAACTTTTTAATAAATTTTATCGGTTAAGTTAAACTTTGAGAACCACTAACTAACTACCAATCAGTGAGTGACCTCGAACGCACCAATCACGTGGAGGAGGCATTTTTGAATATGGGATACAAATATATTTATGCAAGAAAAATGCATAAAAACTGGTAGAAAAGTGTTACAGAGGATACCTTCCTCTCATATGTGATAAAAATAGCTCTAAGTTTTAGGTTGAAATATCAACAGAATATAATTCCATTGTGGGTAAAATTTATTTTGATAAAATCTCATAGTGTAATATACAGTAATATTTGCTGAGCAATAAATTGTGCTCGAAACGTGGTCATTAGCAAATATTACTGTATAACACACTGTGAGACTTTATCAGAATAAATTTTACTCACAATGGAATTATCCTCTACCGCCACAGTGCAGAAGTACTATTCTTATATCAAAAGAGTAATTTAACCACATTGTATGCATGTAATTATTTAAGTCTTCTAACCCTAACAATAACCCTAATCTATCCTGAACCTAACGTGAAAGTATGCCTGAACTAATCCTAATCTAACACTTCAAAGGATTCTATAACCGACCACCACCTGCAACCAGTCCAGAAATACCAACAACAGCGCGCACACAACTGCAGGTTGATACCAATCCTCCAACGAAAGCTGAATTCTTGAATGCAATCAAGCTTCTGAAAGCTGGAAAAGCAGCTGGACCAGATGGAATACCCCTGAAGCACTGCAAGCGGACCCAGAGACGACAGCAGATATGCTGATTCCATTATTGCAAAAGGTCTGGAAGGAGGGAAAGGTGCCTACTGACTGGAGGAAAGGTTACCTCGTGAAATTACCAAAGAAGGGCGACTAGGGCCTCACTCTGCAAGAACTGGCGAGGAATCATGCTCCTGTCGACGCCAAGTAAAATCCTGAGTTGCATCATCCTGGAGAGAATAAAGGACGCACTGGATACAGAACTCCGACCAGAACAAGCTGGATTCAGGAAAACCACATCGAAATCATCCACCTGAGCTACAAATCTTCTCTATCATATCTAAGGCAAATCATGTTCTGACCAAATTGCAACTCTACGCATCATCATCACAGTACAAAGCATGGAATGGAAATCAAACCTATACCTCAACTTTATAGACTTTGAGAAGGCCTTCGATAGCGTTGAACGCAAAGTTATTTGGAAACTACTCGAGTACTACGGCGTACCCCAAATATTCATCAACCTTATTCAACAGCTGTACGACAACGGAACATGTCAAGTGATCCACAACGGAAAACTCAGCGAGGCGTTTGGAGTAAACACAGGAGTCACACAAGAGTGCTTATTATCACCAATGATATTCCTAATTGTGGTGGACTGACTGGATTATGCGTCGGACAGTGGGAAACGTGAAGACAGGGATATCCTGGACCGACGTGAAGAACTTAGAAGACCTGGATTTCGCGCGTGGATGATTTATGTTTGATGTCACACAAAATCGAAGACTAACAAGCGAAAACCGACAAACTGGTCGAAGAAGCAGCCGGCGAAGATAGGACTCCAGGTGAACATAGACAAGACGGAGGTTATGAAAATAACCAACCAACAGCAACAACAGCAGAAACATCCAGTGCCAATCACCATCAACGGGAGGGATTTGAAAAAGGTCACTTCATTCACTTATCTAAGGAGGGAGCATTGTCTCAACTACAGGCAGTCGGAGCGGACGAGGATGTCAAATCCAGCGAGAATCGGGAAGGCGAAAAACACATTCATCAACCTGAAACCAATCTGGAAATCTTTGTCACTCAGCCAGCCAGCATCAACAACAAAATTCAGTCGGATTTTCAATACAAACGTAAAGTCAGTTCTTCTATACGGATCAGACAGAAATTTGGCGGGCGGATCACAAAAAATATTTCCAACAGCCTGTTGCAGACGTTACCTTTATCAACAACTGTCTTCGCTGGCTCTATACTGAAGATCAGATGGCCGAGACGGAAAGAATCACCAACAACAAGAAACTATGGGAACAAACAAAACAAGAACCAATCTCTCAACAACAGCAAATATGCAGGAGAAAGTGGAGATGGATTGGACACTCCATCGTTGGAGGAGGCCGCCGCTGGGTGACATCGCGCGCGCGTCAGGCCATCGCTCGAATGGAACCAGGCCGAAAGGGAAGCGACGAGTGGGACGTGAGTGCAAAGGTGACATGGAGGAGATCGTGTGAAGCGGAGTTGAAACAGTATGGACTGATATGTATGAAGAAGCAAGTGGAGACGTGCAGTTGAAGCCATATGTTCCACTAGGAACCTAAGGGAACAATAAAATAATAATAATAATCCTAATCTAGCTTGAACTAACCCTAATGTCGCCACCGGGGCCGATGCAAATGGCCTATGAATTCTAACTTCCGCGTACTGCTGAAGATTCCCAAACTTGGACGAAGCAGCTAAATGATGTCAGCTCATGATGAAATCCTCCAAGCAATCAAACAAAATCCCCATAAAACCAATACTTGAAAATATCTCATAATAAGCATATATATATATATAATGAAAACAAAACATAAAAGAGGAGTGGTCATCATGATATGTACAACGTGTTATGATACACAATATCATCAAAGAAAAAAATTGATAGTTATGTACACCAGGTATAGTGAGAAGTATCTTTGCCTGTCATAAGAAAAAGGCTTAAATCGTCTATTTACATCTCGTTTTTCTGTATTAGTCTTTCCCCAAGACCAATTGCTTTAAATCCCTTTAAACTGTGTCGATTCAGCTTTTAATTCTTTTTTTATTCGATACTTTTTTCGACACACCGGCAGTACTGCCAAGACGTTTCTTTGAAACATTTGTCCGTTTTGATGATAGTGGATTCATATTGATGCCAGTCTCTGGAGGCGGAGGAGGAGGAGGAGAATTGTCTAACACATGTGATAAGCCGGCGGTACGTATCGTAGTCAATAATTGTTCACGAGCTACGCTTAATTCTGACGACAGATTTCCTATTTCAGGTGCATGCAGTAGAGCTGGAATAATGGTACATCGAAGCCAACGTGGACTGAAATCAAAAATAGAAGAAAAGAAAAGAAATATAAGAAAGGAAGTGATTTTTAAAAAAACACGTGAAAACTAGAAAATAAACTAGTTATTTAAAGCAAAATACGTCAAAATATTCCGAATAAATTGTTTTAAATATAAACAAATCATGAATTGACTAAGGATCCAGTTAGAAAGCTATTGAGAACCACTAGGGGGAGTACAATGGTTTCATATGTTTCCTCTATGCCTGGGACACTCTTCAGCAGCGTACACCTATGACATAATCACAAGAATTGAAATGATATCCCCTCAGGTTACAAGGCGACCTTGTTGATCATTCACCCAATGACTAACTGACTGATTGACTGGTTTCAACATAGAACTTTGAGCCGATGTGCGTCAGTTCAAGTCGCCACACTCCACTCCTTGTAACACACAAAGCAAGAGAAGAAAGTAGAATAAATACCTAATAGAAACAGTAGACAGGGATATGAGACAAAAGGAATAGTAATAAAGAAGAACAAAAACAGTTTCATTGGAAATCATAAGTCACAAGGAGTGGATGCATCTGCGCTAGCCACTGAGAACGATTTTGAGCTAGCCATGTCACCAATTGTTTCCAACCATAGATTTTTACCGTCCCAAGGACCCCAACCAGTCAGGAAGTCTACACCTTCCTACGTGGTTTAGACTAACTGTTGTGGATTTCATTGATTGGTGCCATGTTTTTGTTTGACCACCGCTAGCTTTTTTCCAGCCTGACCCTACATCCGCTAACATTGCTCGTCGAGGAAGGCGATGACCAGGCATACATAACACATGTCCTAACCATCTCAGTCTTTGTAACTTCACCTACCTTATTATACCACTTAACACGGGAGACAGAACGCAGGCATCTATGATCAAAGACAGCTAATCTTTTCATGTCTTCCACTCGAAAGCTGCCACCTTCACGTGGTGGTCAGGCTTGAACACCACAATGACCCAACAAGCTATACTGACTAAGACTTATGTCGCTTGAGGTCCTACCATGCCAGAAAGGTTGTTTGGATAGCGGTTAGACAAAAAGCAGCTACTCAATCCAATACTATGATTCAAACAAATTCACAAAATATCATGCCGGATCGGTCGGGGCCCGGATTAACAACGACCACGTTTCCTGCTGCCATGTCACAGAGCAGAAGTCATAAATATGCTACTGAGACACACCAAACAAAAACAGGCCACGTGTGACCAGTCTCAACCAGTTGTCCCCTGGGCTCTGCAGTCACGCGACACTCTTTTTGTTTCAGATTCCCGAAGAATTAGTCAACTTCCACGGTGTGGGGAACCGGGAAGTAACAACCGTCCACACACTTCCAAAAGTACACGAAACCTTCCTGAGCATCACTCTTCCTTACTCACATCACCTTCCTCATCTTGCTTCTCTACTACAGTTTGCACTATTCTGCAAGCTAATGAGTCATCTTCACTTCACTCTGTGTCCACAAACAAAGGTGAGAGCCATAGAAACACCTCAGATAGCCTTTTAAAGCCACGTCGCCAACTTCATATAGGAGTTTTTTTAACGTCAGAACCCCCTCTACCAAGACGTCTACACCTTCCTACGTGGCTGACTGGCTTAAACTAATTGTTGTGGATTTCATTGACCGATGAAGCCATGTTTTCGTTTGACCACCACCAGTGGCTCTTTTTCAACCTGACCCCCTATGTCAGCAAACATTGCCCTTCGGTCGAGGAAGGCGATAGTAAGGCAAGGTGAAGCGGTCAACGTGCTCCACCAATCACTTCACCTCCGTATTCCTAAACTAGGAGTCAGTGTAGTTCAGTCCCCAGTCCTGTAACATCGGGAGGGAGGCAGAGGAGGAGGAGGAAATGAAAGCTAGAGGACAGTCGTGAAGTTAGCTGTGTAAAAGACTTTAGTGAACAGAATTAAATCGAAGTGGGTTGCTTCTGCTGGAACACGAGAGAATGATGACGGTGATAACACTCAGCAAATAATACAGACTCCACACACACACATACACACAGAGAGAAAAAGATGGAAAAACATACCACCTTTAGTATATGCTTACCGAAACAGATTAGCTTCATTCACCTTTGATAGTAAACGACAAGAAGCAGAGGAAGAAGCAGATGATGACATTTCTTCACCAGCATTATCGACTGTACATTCAGTTGCAATCTCAGTTAACCAGTTGAGAACATCACACCAACCTGGAGTAGGTGTAGTAGTAGTAGTAGTAGTAGAAGTAGTAGTAGGTGAATTCTCTTGACGGTTTAATGCCTTACTTTCTACAAACAGTACACCACCACGTCTTGTTGAATTACAGTGCTCCTATAAGAAGAAAAGAAAAGGTTTTAATATTTGCTTACATCACAAAGATGAGATATTGTTATTATGATTATGCTTTTGTCTATATATGACTGACTGACTGACTGACTGACTGACGGACTCGTTTCAACATACAACTTTGCACAGATATGGGTTAGCTCGAGTTGTCACGCGCCATGTTGAACACAAGACAAGCTTTCATTACTCCCAAGTCTGTGTGGAGGTCAACAGGCCCACTCAGCATCAAAAATAACATCCAGACTTTCAACTCCAATATGAAGTCAGTGCTACTCACTAAACGGATCAGAGACTTGGCCAGCGCGTCATAAATAGCATCTCAAACAAAACTTCAGACCTTCATTAACAGTTGTCTTCGCTCAATACTACGCTCAAGATCAGATTGCCGGCCAGAAAAGATCGCCAACAGGGATCTCTGGGAGCGAGCCAACCAGGAACCGATTTTGAAACAAATAGGCAAGAAGAAATGGAGATGGATTGGCCATACTCTGAGAAAACCATCAAGTGACATCACTAGACAAGCTATTGCTCTAGTGGAACCCGAAAGGCAAGCGGCGAGTTGGTCGTCCAAGGGTGAGGGTGACTTGGTGGAGGTCATGTGAAGGAAGGGGAGATGAAAGCATGTGGGCAGACTTGGAGCGGGGTGAGAAAGTTGGCAGAAAACCGAAAGCAATGGAGATGCGCAGCTGAAGCCCTATGTTCCTCTAGGAATTAAAGGATATAATAATAATAATAATAATATGTTGAACACAAAGCAAGAGAAGAGAGATAATGAACAGAAGTAGTAGTAAGAATATGGGAGAACAAAAGAGTTTTATTGGATATGACTAGCAAGCGGTAACCATTTTCAAGTATTGACTTTGCAGGGATTTCGTTTGATTATTTGGAGGATTTCATCATGAGTTGACATATCAGTTAGAGAACCATTGGAAAACCAGGCGGGAAGTACTGGACACCCAGCTGTTTCGTCAGCCTAGTTTGAGACTCTTCATCGGTAAGCACCCACCGGACTTCGAGCTCAGGACCTTCTGGTTACAAGGTGAGCTAGCGCTCATAGACCATTAAGCCAATGGGACCCAATCCAATGGCCAGTCAGCCCATGAATTCTAACTTTTGTCAATTCATGAAATAGTGCGACCACTTCGCAATGTCTTCTTCTTAGAATTCATGTATCATTGGATCAGGTTCCAGTGGCTTAATGGTCTACGAGCTAACTCGCCTTGTACCCAGAAGGTCCTGGATTTTGAGCCATATCACCAGTTACCTCCAGCCATTGGTTCCTGGGATCCTGAGAACCCCCGCCAGGAAGCCTACACCTCCCCACGTGCCTCAAATTAACTGTTAAGTATTTCATCAACTGACGACAAATTGAAATTAGGATCGCTGTACATGAATGTGTTAAATAAACATTTCTTTTAACATATGCTCTGCAGTTCTAGTGGTACTTAAATTTGAAATCCAGAATGGTTTTCCTCACGTGATAACCAAAGCTAAGCCAAACCAAAAGAAGTTGTGAAAAGCCTACAGAAACGGAGCAACTTGAAACCCAGTGTTGCAGGCGCTCGCTCCATAGGTCTTTATTTTAAATTTTAATTCTTGAAGTTCCAAGTAGTAATGATCGTCAGCCGACACCCCTCCCGACGCCCAACATTCTCTTTTCTCCAGGTGCAGGAATGAATCGAGTGGGAATCCAACCTTAGTCTATTGCAATGGTTGACGAGCATTCCTTCCAATCTAGTCGCATCCCATATACAATAAACTACAGACAACTGAAGAAAAATCAATCGATCAATCAATCAGTCTTACCCTTAATTCAGCCAATCTTCCACGACCAATTTCACAGTAATCATTCCATCGATTCATACACGCTTCCATATAATCAATATTATTGTTGTTATTATTAGTAGCAGTAGTACTATCTCCTGAAAGCATATCTACTGGAACCAACAACATCCCAATGTCGTCATCAGCACCCTCTTCCTCCTCGTCCCCATGTGGAACAACTGATCCAGTATTCTTTAAATGATTATCTCCAGGAGAAGGAGAACAAGAGGAAGAACTTGGCTTCACCCGAGTATTGACTGATTTCTTACTTGTTGTTGTTGTATTAAACCAATTCGGCTTTGTATTTAACTGTACTTGAAGAAACCTGACATCATTTTCCCATGGTAACAAATCAATCAATAAGTCAGTGAAATAAAAGACTGTATGCCGAGATGAAAGGATACAATAACATTGTGGTGATGAATGCGTCTCTACGCCAGTAGAAGATGATGTGTTTGTCAATGATAATGAAGGCAGTGGGGTGCAGAAGGTTTCATTCCACCATTGACTATATGTGATACCAGTTAGTCGACTATCTTCAGAGCATAGTTGACGAGCCAATAGAATTGCAGCAGTAAGACGTTGCCTATCATGTTCTTTCATAGATGATGAAGCATCAACATTAGAAGAAGAAGTAGTAGTAGTAGCAGTCGATCTACTTTCATCAACATTTATTTCTTCCTGTTCCTCCTCACCATCATCATCATTATTGAAAACATCATCTAATAGACGGAGATAGTCTAATTCAAAGGTTTCATTATTTGTATTATTATTAGTAGTAGTAGTGGTATTGAACTTGACAGTTGAACCATTGAACAAGGTTGACAGTAGCTGACGAATCAAAGCTATAGAAATTACAATTAAAACATGAAATAATAAAAAGAAATAGCGGTTCAAGTTTATTTTAAGCGTAATAGTGAAACAAAACAGTGAATGATAAGAGTTATTTTTATACAATTGGTGGATGGTGGCTAGCAGTGGAATCCAGGATGCGAATTTCGTCCCGTTTGGGACTCGTCAGCTGGATGTACCTGCATTTCTCAGTGAGTGATGATGTTCCCACCGAGGCTCGAACCCAGTACCCATAGTTTCGAACGCCAAAGCGTTATCCATTAGACCACTTGGGCCACGAGGGCCACCTCTTGTGCAACGGGTCATATTAATTATTGAATTGGATTTTTTTATTTTCCCGTCGATTGATATGGGTACTGGGTTCGAGCCTCAGTGGGAACATCACCACTCACTGAGAAATGCAGGTACATCCAGCTGACGAGTCCCAAATAGGACGAAATGCGCATCCTGGATTCCACTGCTAGCCACCATCCACCAATTGTATACTAATTAAACGCCCAGACATCGTCGAAGCATCTGCACAAGAAGCCGACATGTCAACCTGAGACCGAGCACTTCGGCCCAATCAGTCGACGGGAAAATCAAAAATTCAATTCAATAATTAATATGACCAGTTGCACAAGAGGTGGCTCTCGTGGCCCAAGTTAGGTCAAGTTAAAAGGACATATTCAAGGTCAAAATAATAATGAAGATCACTAAACCAAACATATGAGGTAATACTACATCTACCTTGGCTGGTATCAAAACAAAGTTTACCAAGGAAGGTTTAATGTGATGACGAATTGTTTTTGATGAACGCATAAAGGTGGCTGAAACTTTCTATTTCCTAGGGCTTCCAAAAACTTTAGGATACGCCCTCCCCAAACACGTTTTGTAGATAGATAGGTTTAAAAGATGTGTGAACGTCAATTTTGTCATGTCTCCATTATATGTTTCGAAGTAGAGGAGCTAGGTCTCCAGTCCTCACCATTAGTAGGTTCTGGAGGTTCTATTTGTTTCTAAAGACATTTAGGAATATGCTCTGAAGTCAGCTCTTACTTGCAGAGATCGATGAGTCCTGTCTATGTATGTGTGTCCACACGTATATTCAAATTGGTAAATACAGTGGGGTGGGACATTATTTTTCGCATGTTCGAATGGCTTAGATAGATATATTGACTTCACGTTCGCAATTATTATGATATTAGCTGCATGAAAAGTCTTTTTAACAGCAGCGCTCAGTTTTTGTCTAGTTATCAAGCTGCTATGATCACCCAAGCGTAGGGTAGCTTGATGTACGCATCTTTCTTAGGGGCGAGTTGGTCTTGGTGTTCCACTGACTACTTTATATCTCCTGATAAACTTGTCTGGATAACTGTTATCGACCAGAGTTTGTGTCAACTTTCTTTCTTCTTCATCAAGTGTGTCTGTCTTCAGTGCATGCATATTCGTTGGATTCTACTGAAAAGGCACCTCACTCACTAAGCATCTTTTGCATCGAACAGGTCAGAAACTGTGGTAATTAAGATACTGTCCTGTCCTGTCCAGGTAGTTTTTCTATAAATAGATCTTTTCATTGACCCATCAAGCCGTCAGTTGACTAAGCAATATGTCTAGGAAAGATAAACAATTATCTTCCACTTCTACAGACAAATGTAAGTGATACGCTTGCTATTCTGAACTTGATTCATTCGACTTAAAATTGAGGTAGCAGAACAAGACTTATCACTTATGATTACAATATCATCTACATATCTTCTACAAAGTGGCAGACACATTTTCGATTAAATCCTCCGATAAATTCTCAATTTACGACGTATAAATATCTGCTAAGAGCAGTCCTAACGGACTTCCCATAGCAACACCATCAACTTGGTGGAAACAATCGCCTTCAAATGTAAACCTAACATTGCTAGTAGATAGAAGTAATAAATCCCTTAAGTAAGATATAGGGAACTGGATGAAAAAATTGTTTGTGTCAACTGTTTTGAGCGAAGGCACATTAGTGAATAAAGAGTTTACATCAAAAGAGTACATATTCTTATTCATAATATTGATATTAATATAGTCAAGAAAATTAACCAATTCGAATGTATCTCTTAACATCTACCTACAGAATTGTGTTTTGACTGGATGCAATAATTCTACTAACCATTTAGCAAGTTTATGCCTTGGGGATTTGCACATTGACAATATAGGACGTAGAGGATTATTGGATTTATGTATTGTTTTTCTATAGTTTGGTTTGTAAGGGTTAGTTTTGTTTTTACGAGTTGATCACCGATTGAATCAACTAGAGAACCATTGAAAACCAGGGATTACTGGACAGGTGTTTCATCCTAGTTTGGAAGCATCACCGGCACGCACCCACCGGGGTTCGAACCCAGGACCTTCTGGTTACAAGGGAAGCTAGCTCGTATACTATTCAGCCACTGGAACCCGATTCAATAGCCAGTCCATGAATTCTAACTTCTACCAATTCGTGATTTAGCGCGACCCCAACCATTGTCGTAGGTGGGATATCCATCCTCACACGTGACATCTAATTGGACCTCACTGGTCACGACTTTTCACTAGAACTCACCCCAAGAATCTCCATCCTGTAGCAAGTCACTAGCGAGCATCAGATTAATTTTTTATACTTTGGTTTGTAAGGGTTAGTTTTGTTTTTATAATATATATGCGGGAATTTACAATCTGATGGTTTTACAAAGTCAAATTTATCTTTACTTATGGTATTTAGGCCATGAAGCTTTACTAGATTAGCTGTCACTATGCTTTGTAACAAGTGAATATCTTCTGAGGAGGGATCCCGGCTAAATTTGCTTTTATCAATTTGAATGTACGTGTGGGCACACATACATAGAAGGGAGGACAGATAGATCTTTGCAAGTAAGGGCTGGTTTCAGAGCATATTCCTAAATGTCTTTAGAAACAAATAGAACCTCCAGAACTTACTAATGCTGAGAACAAGAGATCTATCTTCTCTACTGCGAAACATATTATAGAGACAGGACATAAAATTGACGTTAACCCATCTTTTAAACCTATCTACCTACAAAACGTGTTTGGGGGAGGGCGTATCCTAAAGTTTTTGGAAGCCCCAGTTGACAATTAGAAAGTTTAAATCACCTTTATGCGTTCAAAGCAACAATTCGTCATCACCACACTAAACCGCCTTCCTTGGTAAACTATGTTTTGATACCATCCAGGCTAGATGTACTATTACCTCTGTTATTTGGTTAAGTGATTGATCTTCATTGTTATTTTGATCACCTTCAATATGTTGGCCTTTAAACTTGACCTAACTTGTCTATATTCTCACCTCTTAAGTCTTTATTAGGTTCATTTGTGTATATTCCTGTAACATGTCCGTGTGTGTGTTTGATCAGATTGTTCAAAATGTGTTTCACAAATACACAATACACGATTCAGACAAATGACGTCTTTTTAACAGTTTGACAAAATTTGGGCATTGGGTATATACGATATGCAAACATCGCGACAAATCAAAAATCACAAGTAATGAATACCGCAGAGTCGCGGCTGTTCAACCGACCATCGAGAGATCCAGTTGGTGAAATAGAAAAGCTTGAAAAATCATCAGCCATAGAATGAGGCCACAAGTATCGATTTTGACAATATTCAAAATCATCATCCAGAAAAAGCATTTCAGAAATCAGAAAGAAGAATGTCGTCTTGTATCATCAGAACCATTTCATATCAAATGGAATCTAAATTGTCTCGTGAATAGGAATGATGGACTAAAGCAGAATTTAACCTGGTTACAACACTCCCCCGCCTATCGTCCCCCATGAAATGACACAATCAACACGGATGTGATAAGCTATTTCATTATGTAAACACACACTGCTTTTATGATTTTATACACTTATAACATCCAACAATCTACAGCCAGTTTACGTCGACTCTGGCGTAGACGAGATGTTCGACTATCGACCAAAGGGCGGGTGTACTGCTCATCAGTCCCCTCCGTCCTCCTTTATGGTTGTGAGACCTGGCCACTCAGAGTGGAAGACATGAAAAGACTAGCTGTCTTTGATCATAGGTGCCTGCGCTCTATTTCCCGTGTAAAGTGGCATAATAAGGTGAGCAACATTGAAGTTAGGCGTCGAGTTCTAGGTAAACAGGGGAAATCAATCGACGAAGTCGTGAAGTTACAAAGACTGAGATGGTTAGGACATGTGTTACGTATACCTGCCTAGTCATCGCCTCCCTCGACCGAAGAGCAATGTTAGCGGATATAGGGTCAGGCTGGAAAAAAGCTAGTGGCGGCCAAACAAAAACTTGACACCAATCAATGAAATCCACAACAGTTGGTCTAAGCCAGTCACGTAGGAAGGTGTAGACTTCCAGGCTGGGGTCCTCGGGACGGTAAAAATCTATGGTTGGAAACAATTGGTGACATGGCTAGCTCAAAATCGTTCTCAGTGGCTAGTGCAGATGTATCCACTCCTTGTGACTTATGATCTCCAATGAAACTGTTTTGTTTTTCTTTATTACTCATTTGTCTTACACCTCTGCTCACTGTTTCTATTATGCTTTTCTTGTACTTTCTTCTCTTGCTTCGCGTGCTACACGGAGTGTGGCGACTTGAACTTCCGCACATTTGTGCAAAGTTCTATGTCATAAACAGACAGACAGACAGACAGACAATCTACAGCTGGTTTTGTTATCTTCACCAATTGGCCAATTTGACAACGAAAAATGCCCCCCATGCTGAGGAACGATGAATAAGTTGTTATTTATATAAGCTTAGTGGATCTTGTAAATTTTGGTTTAACAATATTTTGATAAGGCTGTTATAGGCACTAAGTAGCGAAACGTCAGTAAAAACAGCAATATCGTTTTGTTTTTCATTCATTGAGAAATTTCGGAATAAACATATTGGTTCATAGGAGTTATTGAGAAGACAGTTGCAGCGAAGGAAATTTTCTTTTCGACGAAGTCATCATCTAGGCTGTACATTCGTGTATTTATATCAAATGGATGGTTTTTTTCAGGTGTAGAATACTGGCCAGGTGTTCAAGTGGTCCGTGTTCGATACCCCCCCCTCACCAGCCAGCGCACATTAAAAATCTCGCCTGAGATGGGAAATAAGACGGTAAGATTGACGGGTTTTAACATAGGACTTTGCGAAGAAGTACAACAGTTCAAGTTGCCAAACTCCATGTAGCGTTCACAAAGGAAGACAAAAGAGGAAAACTGAAATTAAAAGGAACTATAATAAGTATAAATGTGAGGGAAAAACAATTAAGTTTAATGGATATGAGAGGTCACAAAGAGGTCGCAAAGCATCTACACGCCAGCAACTGACAATGATGTTGAGCCATATCGCCATTGGTTCTTATCATCCCAAGGACCCCAACCAGACAGAAGTCTACATTTCCCTATGTGGTTGGCTAGAACTGACAACCAAAGACTTCATGGACTGATGTCAAATTTTCATCTGACTACCTCCTCCTTAACTCTTTTCCAACCTAGTCAATCCTATGTGAGCTAAGATGATTGTTCGTCGAAAAAGGCGACGCTTCAGCATGCGTAATGCATACCCTAGTCATCTCAAACGATATAGTCTCGTCAATTTGACCGATTAACTTCTCCTCGATGCCTATCCTAAATATTAATCACCATATTACACCGAATGAATATGGGGATAGAATGAAAACATCTGTGCTCAAAGACAGATTGTTAAACCACATATTTAACCAAACCAAAACATAAAAAAACAAAAACTGGGCAAAGAATATCCTTTTCGTTAATTTCATCTTCTGGCTCTACAATTATGTATGTATATATATATAGGACTCCAAGTAAACATAGAGAAAACAGAAGTGATGAAGATTCCTGGCCAACACCAACAACAACAACAGACAACAACCAGCATAAATGGAAAGCACCTGTAAGAAACAACCTCCTTTACCTACCTGGAAAGCATCGTTTCAACTACAGGCGGACAGAACTGACGAGGATATCAAAGCGAGGATCAGTGAAGCAAGACAAACTTTCATTACTCTCAAGTCTGTGTGGAGGTCAACATCACTCAGCATCAAAAATAACATCCGGATCTTCGACTCCAATATGAAGTCAGTACTACTACATGGATCAGAGACTTGCACTGCGCGTCATAAATAGCATCTCAAACAAACTTCAGACCTTCATGAACAGTTGTCTTCGCTCAATACTCAAGATCAGATGGCTGGCCAGAAAAGATCACCAACAGGGATCTCTGGGAGCGAATCAACCAACCAGGAACAGATTGTGCAACAAATAAGCAAGAAAAAATGGAGATGGATTGGCCATACTCTAAGGAAATCATCAAGTGACATCACACGCCAGGCCATCGCTCAGGTGGAACCCGAAAGGGAAGCGGCGAGTTGGTAGTTAGTGCACGGGTGACTAGGAAGAGGTCATGTGAAGAGGAGATGAAAGCATGTAGGCAGCAGACTTGGAGCCAGGTGAACACTCTAACAGAGAACCGAATGCAATGGAGACGTTCGGCTGAAGTCCTATGTTCCTCTAGGAATTAAAGGAAATGATCATAATAATCACTTTGTAGGGTGCGGTGTGTTCAGAAATCTGACGACAAACATGTAAAAATATTAATTTTTTAAAGATTAAAAAAGAGAAGACAGCACTTACATTTAATAGCAGTTACACCGCCTTTAATACACGTCACTATAACAGATATAAGCTGTAAGATGTGAAGCCAATCAACATTGTCTAAATGATCATTTGTCAGCACGGTGAAAAGACGTTCACAGATAAAGTTTAAATCTAATAAAAGAGCAAACTATCAGCGTTACTATGGTTAGATTCTTTTTTCTTTTCTTTTTGAATTGTTATGTCACTTACTTGCATTACAGCATATCTGATAGAAGTATCAATTTCTATGAAGTTGAAACATTCCTTTTGATAAGAGGTATAAACTATTTGGTGGGGGAAGAAGGTTGACGGAAAGGAAAGGTATATATACATTGAACTTTACTTACTTGAAGTCTTAGAAGATGTGTGTAGAAACTTTTCAAAAAGACACTCTAAAGACTGTTTAATCTCTTGTTTTGGATGGACACTACATATTAATTTATGTATATGATTATGAAGTGTTTGCCAATCTGAAATATTAATAATGATAATAAAGAATGAAAAGTGAAATTAAAAAGTCGTGAATTTGAAAATTTGACGTAGTTCATGGACATCAAGTTTTAGTAGCATTGATGACTTCTCACCCTCCCTTCCTCACCTCTTTTATGCTCCCAAGTTTCATTCTCTTGAACTACTGAACATCATGAGTATCACTCTTAGAATGTTTGGCATACAATCTGATCCTGTCAGATTTAAGTAAGATGATTCTAAAGGATTGAACTAAATCGAAGTTGCATCAGTGTCCTAACGGACTGATCGTTGACAAAATCTCCGCAGATACAGAAGGCTCATGTGGCATTTGTCAGTCAACTTACGCCATCTCTGGTGTAAATGTGATATCTGACTGACTGTCGATCAAAGGACATGTGTCCTGCACAGCACCAGTTCGCTCCATTCTTCTTTATGGTTGTGAGACACGGTCATTGTAAGTGGAAGATATGAAAAGCTTAGCTGTCTTTGATCACAGCTGTCTGCCTGTTGTCTCCCGTGTTGGGTGGTATAATAGAATCAGTAATATTGTGGTTGTGAAGTTACGTGGATTGAGATGACTCTGACATGTGTTATGCATGCCTTCCACTGCGGGCAATGTCAGCCGATATATGATCAGGTTAGAAAAGAGCTAGTTGTGATAGTCATACTAAAACTTGTCATCAGTCCATGAAATCTTTAATCGTTGGTTTGAGACACATGTAGACGTGTAAGCTTCCCGATGGAGGTTCTCGAAATCCCAAGAACCAATGGCTGGAGATAATTGGTGATATGGATCAATATTGATCTGTGGCGCGGATGCATTCACTCATATCATGTCAAATTAATATGATTATGAGCAATTGTTTATGCTCCAAACGTCATCCAGTTGTTAATACGGCGTCATCACTGTGATTATTATAGTAAACTTATCTAATATGGAATTACATTCTCCCACAGTGTCTAAGTTCTACCCTCTTGCTTATCTTGCTTATCAATGAGTTGCCTATGCTCACCGTATCCCCCATGATCCTTAACTCACATGACTTAAAAATGTACAGAGAGGTGAAGGGCGATAATGACACTATGAAGTTGCAAGGTGTCAAAAGAATGTTAGAGTGATCCGAAGAATGGCTGCTTCTGATCAACGTAACGATGTGTGCAGCCGCATGCATTCCACACAAAAGTGTCGGCTCATATGAACTATAGGGAATAACACTCCCATCAGTTCTGAGGCATACAGAGCTAAATATCATAGTAAGTCATGGCCTAAAGCTATAGCACACTGTTGCACAGTGGCAGCTTGAGGTTTTAAGTCAATTATGGGCAATACCTGGAGCATCCACTAAATTGAATCGCCAATGATATGTTCACCTCCTTATATGCACATTTGGTGAGGTGACAACTGCAAAACTGCGTTCATCCATCTACCCAAACCTTGTCTTAATCAAGGGGGACTCATACATTGTAGAGAAGAATGCAAATGGAAGTCGATAAGAATAATTCTTGGCAGGAAAGACTTACTAGTTTAAATGTTTTCTCGCTGTCATAATACTGGAGACAGAGAGGAGAGCTCAATAAAATGTTAAGTTTTAAAAAATGACTAGGGACCTGATCTACCTCCCCCTTTCCTTTCCATGAGATCTGAACATCTCAGATGCACAGAAGGAAACTTACGAAAAGTCTCCGCAAGGACCGTGAACAGTGGCGGCTGACAAAGGCAAAAGAGATGGAAAAAGCATTGGCGATAGGCGACACTAGGCAACTCTTTAGACTCATCAGGGAAACGGATGGGAGAAGGCAAATCATAAGTGAGACTATTTCTGAGAGAACTGGCTCCTTAATTAGCTCTCAGGATAGACGCCTTGAACGCTGGAAAGAACACTTTGAGGAAAAATTTAACTTACCTACAGCCACACTGAACCTCCCCGACACCCAGCACACACCCGAATGGGATATAAACACTGGTTCGCCGTCTGTAAATGAGGTCACAAAAGCTATCTGTAATTTGAAACGAGGCAAAGCGGCAGGACCCGACGGAATTATTCCGGAGGTGTTTAAATATGGGAGTGACATACTAGTTTGTAGATTAACTGAGGTACTAGGCAACGTCTGGGAATCAGAGACGGTTCCATCAGACTGAGGTAAGTCACTTATTATACCGATATTCGAGAAGGAAAACAAGTCCTCATAAGATAATCATAGGGGGATCAGCCTAACGAACAGTCTCTAAAATCCTAGGCTCAGTAATCATGCACAGACTAAGCAGAACTCGGGAGGAACAAACGAGGGAAAATCAAGCAGGCTTTAGACCACGTAGAGGGTGCATAGATCATATCTTCACTCTTCGACAGATTCTAGAACATAGACACACTTTTCGGCGTCCAACAATTGCCATATTTCTTGACTTGAAGGCGGCCTTCGACTCCGTGGATCGAAAGGTACTATGGCAATGTTTGACTGTGAAGGGAGTGCCAAGAAAGTACATTGCACTAATCAAGGCACTCTATTCAAACTCACGTAGTCGTGTAAGGGCTTATGGGGAATTGTCATCTGAATTGGTAACAACCAGTGGTGTCCGACAGGGATGTCCACTTTCCCCATTTCTGTCTAACTTCATCATATATACGCTGATGGAAGTACCCTTAACTGAACGTAACGACTTAGGAATCGACTTGTTACCAGGGTATAGTCTTATGGACTTAGAATATGCAGATGACATAGTCCTGTTAGGGAAGGATGCTGACAAAATGCAGAGTCTTCTGAACACCTTGAACTGAGCAGCAATTTTCGTATGTTTGGCATGCGATTCGCCCCTGCAAAATGTAAGATGCTGCTACAGGACTGGACTATGTCAACTTCTAGCTTGGTGATAGGGAGTGAAGTGATAGAATATGTTGACCACTTCACCTATCTGGGAAGTCGTATCAGCACCAACGGACCGATTGGCGACGAAATCTCACCACGGATCCGAAAAGCTCGAGCTGCTTTCGCTGACTTACACCCTCTCTGGCGTAGGCGTGACATCCGGCTATCAACCAAGGGACGTGTGTACTGCTCATCAGTTCTCTCCGTCCTTCTATGTGGCTCTGAAATATGGCCAATACGTGTTGAAGACATGAAAAGGTTGACTGTTTTTGATCATAGATGTCTACGATCTCTTTCTCACATTAGGTGGTATAATAAGGCAAGTAACGTTAACATTAGGGGTAGTGTTGGGCAAACAGGGAGAATCAATCGACGAGGCTATAAAGTTACATAGATTGAGATGGCTAGGTGACGTGCTGCGCATGCCTAACCATTGCCTCCCCCGATGAGCATAACTAGCTAATATATGTGGTGCGGGTTGGAAAAGAGTAAGTGGTGGCCAAACAAAACATGGCCTCATCAATCCATGAAATCCTCCTTGACAGTTAAACTGAGTCGGTCAGGTAGGGAGATGCAGACTCCCGGGTTGGGGCCCTCGGGACTGACTCTAGGAATCAATGGCTGGAGACAATAGGTAACATGGCTCGAAATCGTTGTCAATGGCCAGCGCAGATGTATTCAGTCTCTGTAATTTTTCATATTCCTTTTAACCATTACCCATTCTGTTTCACTCTTATACTTGTCAAACTATCAATACTCTCCACTCATCTTCTTGTCTACCTCTGTGTGCTATTTGGAACGTGGCGACTGGAACTGCTGCACTTCGGTGGCAAGTTCTATGCTGAATCCAGACAGACAGACATCTCAGATGGTATAGCAGGAGAATCGAAAGGTCATGGAGGAACTCTGTCGCTGCGGTGAACTGATTCTCTCACACTCATTAACTCTTGGAACTGAAATCGACTAGTTCAAGAAGGAATGAAACACACAGGAAGTACTTATTGGAAAAAAATTACTATAAACTTTAGGATTGCTATCTTTCGATATCTAAGTGTCACTGTTGAGTACTGTTTCCTCAAATAATTCAGAATTTTGATTAGATTTTGTAGAATGCCGTCTAGGGCTTGGAGTGAAGAAAAAGTTGAAGCGCAGTAGTAGAGCTTATGCATACGGCTATTTTGATGTCAATGGTGAATGGGAGGTGAGAGCGCTGAGAACTTGACGAGGAAAGTCAGTGTGCACTGAACTTATGCCGGCAGTGCTGTTAACCGAAATCAGTGTTCAAATATTAGGAGTAACGTGGACGCACATAGTTTTATTTTGTGCACCACATCTACCACAGAAAAGAATAGGTTACTTCAAACTTGACGGAGAGTTATTCAGCATTGCTCGGTGGCATAGTGGTTAGGACTCTCGCCGACCATGCACATGGTCCGGGGTTCGAGCCCGCGCCGACACACATCTGATATCTATGGTCGACCTGAAAAATTTCCGCCACCGATACCACATGCTATAGCCTGAAGAAATATTGTACGAAGTATACTTAAGATTAGATTAATCTGACCTCTAGCCCTAATCTTCACTTCGTTCGTGATCACCGAAACCTAAACACACCGCAACTATAACCCAGGCTTCAACCCTAACCACAGCCACTAAAACTAGTTGACCTGTCAGTACAAAACTCTTGAAACAAAATTAACATTCTATTGACAACGAAATTATTTATGTGTTAGTAAAGTGTATCTTCACTCTGAAAACGACCTACCTATTTCATTTTCCGTTAGAGACATATTAACCAGTGGTGAAACAAGTATCCAAGGTGTGTTTGACCTTCATCTAAAAACGTGCCAGTATTTGACCTTGAGAAATGCTATTCAGAGCACAGTTTAACTAACAATCTTGACACAGATTCAAGATTTATTGAAAGAAGATATTATGGCACGTATATTAGTGATTTTATGGTAATTAGTTTCTGTGCTTGGCTAGGTGCTTCTTGAACAAGTAAGCTGAGGCCACTAGTACCACTTCTTTTGAGAGTAGTTTCCAAGATTTTATAGCGCCTCGAGGGATCTAGAACTCCACGACGTCAGAGTTTCTCCTTGAATTTCGAACTCTTCTGCTTCGTCTTCTGAGTCCTTCATATCTGATGGTGAGAAAGACAGAACGTATATTATATCGATAAGGCAGGATTACAAATTTAGAGAAAACACATATATGAACGTGATTTTTAGGATCAGTACTGGATGGCACATATTGTATCGCAACTAAACATGTGTTGGATAGTGTTGTTTTCGAATAGATTTTCTGCATTTGTAGACATTGTCGGCATAATACCAACTGCCCTCTAGTTGCTGACTTCTGTTTTCGTATCACATTTGTGTTTGAGTATGGTGAATGTTATTTTTCATTTATCTAGGTAAATCAGAGTTTCCCAAGATATGGTTAAGATTTTAAGCAATAATTAAGAAACCTTGAAAAACACCGTGCGTAAAAAACATGATGCTATATCGTCATTTCCAACAGCACAAGTGCTATAGATAATTTTAACGGTTTAGTTGTTGTTAGCACATGTGAACTCAACGGCACCGGCATGTAGAAATCCGGAAAACAGTGAATGTTTGTCTTTACAGTAAAGCGTCTACTGAAGAGCAGAGCTGTGTGCTCATGATAGTTGGTAAAAAATGCCTTGTTGCGTACTCCATTTATTTTTTATGAATTTGTCAAGATTTTGTGCGTCGGTGAAACACCCGTTAGGACGCTCGTCGACCATGCGCATGGTCTGCGATTCGATCCCCGGCTGACACATTCCTTTACCTCGCTAAGCCAATATTAAGACTAGGCATGAGGCTAGCAACCCCATCCTTTAAAAAAATAAACACTGCCACAGAAACTTCAAACCTCTCGCTTGAAGCCCTATGTTCCACAGGGAACGTGAAGGAAAAAAGTCAAGATTTTGGAGGTATGTGTGTAGCGCCCCAGCAGGATATTAAATGCTGGAACACACTCGTCGAAACTGAGGTTACTCGATCTAGAAGCCTGTGTGGCCCTCTAGCTTCCCAGTCAGAAGGCGAAGGTTCTTATCTTCGGCAAACTTCAGCGAGGCCCATAAACCTACTTGACTGCATGGGAAGTTGTGGAAGGAGCGGCTACATATCTGTAGTTATGGCTGTGTCGCTGCTGTAAATGCAGTTGATACTCTCAACTATTACTTGTCCAGTGTGGTCAAGAAGCGACACAATAATACCAGATGTTATTAATGCAGATTATATGGACTTATAAAATAAAAGTACAAACACAGATAATGAAGTTTGTCAATCACGTCTCATAAACCGTTAATGCCCAGCTCTCGCTACGCTCGGGCCCACGCTGTTCCTTGAAGATTTCAGAAACGCTTAGTTATAACGGACGAAAAAACCAAAACACCGATCTGCCGCTTGATATTTCTTTATTGTTACACCAACATGTAAAAAGAATAAGTGAACTAAGGTCTGAAAACAAATATTACAATAATAAATCATTGTATTACTTCTGACGATGTTTCACTCTTCTTTCTGAACAGCGACCGATGAGACGATGACTGTCGTATTGATGCCTCCGCGAAAATTGGGGAAGTTGGTTTTAAGCAAACAACCAAGAATTGATCGTTCAATCTTCAACTCCATTGACACTCCCCGGCAAAAAAGGGATCCAACCCTTTTTTCCTTCACGACCAATACACGTTGACTTGGATGCCATTGCGAGAACCTGGGTCACACGGACAGAGCTGAAATGGAAAACAAACAGAAAAGCCAACACACCACAAGCATACTCACAGCACAATCTCACACATCAATGACGAACTGCGCCTCCAGACAGAGACCTCCTCTTGACATCTTGCAACACAATCGCCACTTACTAGAATGACTCTTGCAGAATGCAACGTGACCATAGCACCAACTCATGATACTCTACGCACATCCTCTTATCTACTGACTACCAATTACCACTGCAATCGCTTGTCACTCATTCTGCCTCAGTTCTAGTAACGGTGACGTATGCGAGCCTCAGTCGTTTACACTCTTTCTCCCCGGCGTGTCGGACCGCAGCTAACAATTATCTCCGTGTGCATTTCATTCTCAGCAATAGCCTAGCCTCCCCGGCGTATACGACCCATCTGCTGTCCTTAACATCAATCAATTCATTCATGGATGTAGAAGACTCGAAACAACTTCAGAAGTAATCACGACGAAAATTTTAACAAAATTACGCAATAACAACAAGATACGAAAACAACGAGTAAACACAATGAATCCAAAAAACACCAATTGATATGACACACCACACATATATACAAATAGTACAAACAACCTCGCCGATCATGTCTTGGTGGAATTCCTTTGAAGAATTGCAGGACTTACACCAGTACGCCTACAAACCTTCACAGGTTGACCATTGTAAGTTGTGGAATGTCCGGACAAAAACAGAATTACCAACAGCTAGATGACAGATGATATCAATTCAGTATATACAATATGAACATATGTACAAGATCATACACCAAGCACATTGGACTGCTCATTGATGCGCTACCCTTTGAAGAACTGTAGGACTTACAGCAGTACGCCTACAACCCTTCTCAGGTTGACGCCCTAGGTTGGAAAATCGTCGCAGAGTTCATTTGCTGACTTCCTTCTATGAGCTAAATCCTCAAATCTGAACGGCAACACGCCCATGTCATTGTATCGTAGAATATAGATGACCAACAAACACACGACATATCTCATCAACCAAGTGTAGAAACAGAGTAATTTACACCAAAGATAATAGCATTCAATTAGTAACTTGAAACTAGAAATGCCTTTATTCATGCAAGTCAATTTAACAATTACTCTCTCGTTTACACTTGGCTTATTCTCACTAAACTGAACAATATCTTTCGTCTTTTCAAACGCACCAATACTATCATAGTCATTGCAGAAGATACTTGAGTTGATGGGCATCTGTTTCATTGTGGATGAAAACACCAACGATGACTGAGTGACACAAGGTGATGAACTTAGCGGTGGATCAGAAGCTGTTCTTTTTCGGCTTTCAGATAGTTGTCCAACTGCAAGATTACCACCACTGCTGTCTTTCACTACTAGTTCGGGTTTAGCACTATCATCTGATGATAGGTGGGCTACACGCTGATCAATTACACTGACTGTCTCACAAGTATGCACACCTTCTGGAACTGCATCTGCGTTCAATTCTACTTCACGTTGTAGTTGTACAGAACCTTTATTTAACTTAGCAGTAGTAGGCATATCCCTCATCTCATAATGATCAACCAAAGACAACTGTGAAGTATCATGATCATTATCACGAATATTCACTTTACCGTCAACTTCATCATTTTCAAACTCTTTAATAACAGAAGTAGACAATTTTGGTTCCTCCTCACAAATCATTAAAGGTTTTATATCTTCACTCTGACTAGTTATACTTTGTAAACTTGTGGAGTCAGAACTCCACTCTGAAGCAGTAACTCTATTCTGTGACACTCTATTCAACAACGGCTTACCAGTTGCAACTACAGACTTCTTCACAACACCGTTATCGTCACACAATTCGGAGTCAGACCTGGAGTTTACATTTAGCTTATCACTGAACTTGCTCACTGGTTCACAGTTCACTTCTGTATGCACCTCTTGCACACGTGTAAAACAAAACCGTGTTTGTCTTGCATCTTGTAACTTATCTGTTGAGGATGTACTACGAAACCTGTTACACTCACTAGGTCTATATGCATTACTATACATCATGGAGTCTTCTCGATATCCACCTCTCTGAGGCCTACTCGTCATCAATGATTGCATTTTGATCTCAGACTGCTCTATTCTAGGGGTGAGATTCAATAGACTGGCAAACTTGCTCATAGATTGATTGACACTAGTATTTACCAGTTTCAGGATATCATCAAACTTTGGCTCGATACCCTCATCCTCCATACGGGAGCTTATCTTCACCCACTTCCTTTGCAGTCGAGTAGGTAGACGTCTTGCTATTACTTCTAGTATAAAACTCGAGTTGAGGTCACTCATGCGATTCATCGAAATCATTCCATTCTTGTAAATTAGCAAATTATCTAAAAACTCAGTGAGTGCCTGGGAGTCATCCTGTAATTGACCACCATTACCCTTAACAGCCTCGAATAATTTCCCTGCAATCATCGAAGGTCTTCCAAACCTTTGACGTAATATGCTCATAGCCTCATCGTAGCCCTCTTTTGGCTTCATAAACTTACAGCACTGTATAGCTCTTGCAGCATCTCCAGTGCAATATCTCATCAAATACATTAACTTCAATTCATCATTTAATAAAAAACCACTCAACATGATCTCAAACTCCTTTACAAATTGTAAATAATCAGCCGGGTTTCCATCAAAACACCGTGGTTCAAATTTAGGGAGTTTGATGTTCCTATTATCCCTGAACGGCGAAACAGTAACATCAACCATGTCATGCTTAACATCAGACACATCGTTACAATTAACAGACAAGTCACCATGACTTACTTTCCTGTTTGCATCCAAGACACTCTGTCCCTTCTTTGACCCAGGCATTGTTGAACTTGACCCAATTCCAAAAAGTTCCAGATATTGCTTGTTCAAAGAGGACTTGACCGGCACCAGGAAAATGAACGGTGACTATCCAAACTTTCACCAACTGTTTGAATCCGCCAGATCTGTTTCTATCGTCAGAAACTGTCAATCACGTCTCATAAACCGTTAATGCCCAGCTCTCGCTACGCTCGGGCCCACGCTGTTCT